TTTTTTAATCTTTTTTTCCATGTATTTTCATTTATAACTTCTTTATACGGCTGGTACAAATGACTAAAGTTGAAGACCCTGAACTGACTAAACGTGCTTACAGGAAAGCATTGCGTGAATCATTCATTATACACAAACCTTTTTTACTGCCTCGCATCTGCATTTATAGTTCACCTCCTCTCTGTATTTTAAATAAATTAATTACATACAAAGCAATCTTAACTCATAACTAATCAATTTACTAAGCAAAAGTAAAAGACTAACATCATACCACCTTCTGTACAGCAGTGCTGTTCAGAGAATATATACATATATATGTATATGTCAGCTTATCAGTGAGAAATGTAGAAAATGGATTTCTCCATACTGTAGAAAATTTTAGAAAGGTTGGGGCACCAACAGTGTCATCTAGACCATTTCACATGAAACACATCTGAAATACCACGAACACTGGAGTGTGTTTGAGGTTTGTAGTTTTGAGGACCTCCGAGAAGGTGATGAAAACGAAGGAAGTATGTTTTTTTCTTTTTTATGTTTTCTTTTTTAAATTTAAAGTAGATTGTGAATCAACAGGAAATCGCTTAAAAAACTAAATATAGATGCTGAAGCTATTTCACCAACGTGCTTGATGTATAGAATTGAACCTACGTTTTGCACATGGAAAAGAAGTGCAAAGCAAAACTGTACCATAAGAAACAATCAGCAGTATAACCTATAAAACAAAATATGCTGACCTACTCCAAATGGAGTATTACATTTGTTCTATTTAGATTTCCTTTCCTTATGAAAAGGAAAAGTGTTGCTAGTGAACACATCACATACCTAATTTTTGAGCACCTTTAAACTCATGCATGTTTCTACACAGGAAGACATACAGCAGACAGCTGTCATGTGGACACCACCTCCATCACACCTCTATTATTATACAAGGTAAAAACTTTATTAATCTTGAGGGACTCAGTGCAATAAGAATACAAACATTAGCAGAAAAAGAAAAACTGTGTGGTGTCAGCAGAAATATATACAAAAAACAACAAAATGAAGCTCAACCATCAAAGAGCTACGATCAGAATGTACAGATAATCCCAACAGCATAAAATATAAACATTAAGGTGAATGTGCGTAGAAAGTGGCACAGTGTTAATAATAAAAGTAAAAAGGCCTGTAAAGGGAACAGTATTGTATTTTCTATATATTTATTCTGCCTGTAGGCAATTGGACATGCATAATTTGGCTTGTCATTTAATATTACACTAAAATATGTTGCTGTGTAAAAAGGCAGTGTGTAAAGGCAGCTCATGCGCTCCTTCAAGATATAATGCATTTTGGGGTCAACTTGAAATAAAGGCAGATGTAGAATGTACACGTGAAGTCAGAGGTCAAATAATGTGACATGATATTTTGATGCAAACTATAATGCGATATTCGGAATTCCCGTATACCACGACCATAGTTTACTAAATGTTGGCAATACAAAAAAAAAAGGTTTTGAAGGTTAAAGGCTTTCACTTTTGAAGAAGAGGTCAGAGGTCCAAAGTAACGTTATATTTAGAATCCCGGGGGGCTCTAGCATAACTAAGCAATTTAAGAAGACTTTTGCTAGTTCAGATGCACAGGAGTAGAGTGAAACTCACTAACAGTCTAAAGCAGTTGCCTAAAATGACAAATGGAATGAGCTGTTTTTTGATGGAGACCACCAGTAAAATTGAGTCAGATAGTTTTCCAGTAGTACTCTTTCTTTATGAGTGTGTGCTTAGAAAAGTCTAGTTAAAATTTTCACTTCAGGAAGATCGACAACTGAAATGCAAATGCTTTGGTGAAATGACTGTATGATGGCTTTGATATTACGTATGTAAATGAAATATAGTCTTGAATATATACTTTTCTTTCAAATCTAGAGATAAATCAAGATTCTCCAGTTACATACTGGAAAGAAACTAAAAAAAGACACTGATTAAGACAAAGTGAGACATTTGCTCTATTTGGATATCCAGTGGAAATGATGTCGTAAGGACAAAAAAACAAGCAAAAAACCCCCTGATAAAGACTTTGAGTTGATATGTGTTGAACTGTTTTGCTTGCTAAATTCCTCCAAGAATTAAGTTGGAAAAGCTTTAGAACCCTTTTAAAAAGATTTATTGATGAACAACAAGGACAAAAGTGTTTAGGTACGTCAAGATAAATCAATTTGGGCTAAAAAGCGTCATTGCAGAGATACTGTGTTTCATATGTCAATATGTTACTTGGCCACCAGCCAAGTGTGTAGTAGTCACATGTTGCCCATCTGGGTATTCCCATATTTTGACATAGGTAGGGTAGTACATTCCTGGGGAAAAGTTCAGATCTTCCAACATAGACTGGTATCCTGCTGACATGGAATTCCAAACTGCCTTTGCAGTGCACTCCAAATCTACACACCTTTGTACAGGTGCAATGGGTAAGGATGACCAGTCAGAGTGACAATAAATTCCTTTGGCCGAATGAACAGCAAAATGGGCTTTATAGCATTCCCCACAGTGCCAAATCACAACAACAGTCGACTCAAGGTGCTTTATATTGTAAGGTAGACCCTGCAATAATGCATACAGAGAAAAACTCAACAATCATATGACCAAAGCAAAGCAAGCACTCTGGCAACAGTGGGAAGGAAAAACTCCCTTTTAACAGGAAGAAACCTCTGGCAGAACCAGGTTTAGGGAGGGGCGGGGCCATCTGCGCCCAGTTGTTGTGAGAGAAGGAAGACAGGACAAAAGACACGCTGTGGACGAGAGCCAGAGATACTAACAATAGTTTATAGAAAGCAGTAGATAGAAATTGAACGATCCAAGTGATTCCTCATGTCCAAACATTTAAAGACAGCATAGAGGAAAACAAAACTCCAACTGAGGGGAATGAAAGTGAGAAAGAAAAGCATTTTCTGTCCACCTTAGTATTCAACTTAAATGTGCTTCTTTTTCTTTTTCCTCTTCTTTTTGCTTGTCCCTTTAGGGGTCACCACAGCATAGCATCCGTCTCAAACTTGCTCTGTTCTTAGCTTCTTCCTTCTCTGTCACACCAACACTCTGCACGTCCTTACTCTTGATACTTTCGCAGGTTTAAATTGGCTAAGATTTTATGTCAGATGCTCTTTCTCATACAACTTAAGTGGGGACAGGACATGAAGGTAACTGGGTTTTGAAAGAAGTCCTGTTACGTTCAACTAAACTACTTAAAGACTACAAGAACCAACTTGAAAAAGGTAAGTGTCAACATATCAATAGTTATCAAACTCATCCATTACCTGGCCTAAAGCTGAGTTTAAACAGAATAAAAGAAATAAAATATGTTTAAATATGATAAAAAAGAAGGAGGCATTCAAATCTAAAATGAAAGGTAAAGCGTCACTTTCAAACAAACAATCTGCTCGTCTGTTTTTTCAAATAAAGAGTTAGAATAGTTACTCTGGCTATTTATTCCTCATGAGGTGTCACAGTTTATATGGAAAATGATTAGGCTTTAAGGCTTTGACGCGTAAATGTTAGTCAGTTTTAGCTGCCTGCTAGAGAACAGAGTGTGGGGGAAACAGGAAGACAGGAAGATATAACCAGGTAAGGAAACAATGACACAGAATCAGTAGCGTGAGTAAAACGACACACACACAGAGAGAGAGAGAGAGTAGAAAGAGTGAGGCACATCTTGAGGAAGTTAGCAAAACAACAGAAGTAGAACAAAAGGCACATCATACTGAAGGTAAAAAATAATTGTTTTCTTTCTTTCTTTCTTTCTTTCTTTCTTTTTTTTTTTTTACAATTATCGTTTTATAGTAATAACCTTTATTTGTGATACTAACTTGTCAGTTGCGTTAGCTTTTATAGATTTTGATCCTTGGCCTTTTCTCAGTGGTGTTTGTAGACTATTGGCAGCTTTACATCTGTCCACAGAATGGGATTGGTGCAATACTCTGTGGCCCTCCTGATGTTATCCACACAGTTGGTGCTCTGCTTACCCACAGTAAGACTTTGTTCTCTAACCTATTCGCCTTAATTACTGCATACACTTTTATCAAATAAGACATGACTGAATGTGGCATGGATGATGAGTTAATGAGGACTTTTTCATTTTAGTGATTTATATCTATCTGTGTTGACAGTTAAATAAAACCTACAACATTGGTGGGAGAGAGTGTAACTATTGCCCTGCAGGTAGGAAATGTGTGACAACCTTAAGTGAGCTTCTATTAATATTTTTAAAATTCTGCTGTCTGCTCGTCAGTTTACACTTATTCAGAATTATTATTAAAAAATGAATCTCTATTTCGTACAGTGGTGTGAAGTATGTTTTTTTCTGTCTATGCATTGTTTTTTTTCTGCATTGATGAAAAATGACGCAGGCTGAGCTTGTGCAGTATGACCACATCCTTCATTAATATGCATTCTGAGTGTGCAGGCTGTCTGCTCACACTGCTTGTCGTCAAGTTGTTTGCATTGGTTTCTTTCTGTTCTTACAGGTATGTATCAGACTGATTGTACAACATGTGAACACTGTCCTGCTGGAAGTTACACAACTGACTGGAACTATGAAGATGACTGCCATCGCTGCTTTGGAGACTGCAACCCTAGTAAAGAAACTATGAGTCATTTCTACCTTTAATGATTTCATCAGGATCGTGCTATACCCGTGATCTCTGGGTTTCTATAAAGAGCTGATAAACCATTAATAGTAACTCCACATGTACTGAGATGAATAGTCTCTAAAATAATCTTTATTTCACTCTTTCTCAGAGTTTCATCTTAAAGTGGTTCAGAACTGCACCAGTACGTCTGATATGAAATGTGATTGCGAGGATGGATTTAGATGCATCAGGTTGACCGATGACAAAAAGAACTGCTTGTCTTGTAAGAAGATGTCAGACCCAACCCCAACCAGTAAGTACCGAGAAGAACACTTTGAATTCTCATGTCAGATAAGCTCAAACCAACAGTGGGCCTCATGGCAAACAAAACAACTTCTAAAGCTGAGAAAATGACCAGTGTCAAAGCAAACAACTTTACCGCAGCCATTAAAAAACAAAAGAAAAAAAAATAGGTGACAGGATCTGTAAACTTAGCTCTGGCTCCCGTTATTAACAGATCATTCTGAGAACAGGTTCCTCTCAAGTTGCCATGAATATGCAAAACTTGTCTAATATGAACAGGTTTGATTTCCAGGAAAATATTCCTGGAAATCTTTATGCTCTCTAAAAAATGCAATGCCATCACGCTGACAAGAAAGTGTCACAAAGGACACTTTTCTATGTTCTAAGTATATTTTATGAAGTGGTTTTATGAAGAACCAGCAGAAAATAAAATAATCTGCAGCACTCCAATACTCTGCACAGATTGGTAGATCATAGTTTTGTCTGCTCAAATTGCTTCAATAGCCTTGTCTTCTAAAAAAACCCAAACAACCCAAAACCCCAACTAGCTGTATAATACTTATACTTGATAATTCTTGCAGAGTGCCAAACAGCAGGGCTGTGTTTGGCCCCGACAAAATGCAAGCGAGTTATTAAAAATAAATAGTGACATATTTTTAAACATGTCACTGCTGACCAAGTAGTATTTCTGGCACACCCACAACTGCAGAGCACGATGTCACACTGCACACTGTACAGAGTAAATTTGATGGTCAAAGATGCAGCACATTTTAAATCAAAATTGTAGAATTTCAGTTTTACTTCAAAGGGGTTTCAAAAATTGTGTGTGTGTGTGTGTGTGTGTGTGTGTTTAGAGTTTACAGCCTGTTATCCAAGTAACAGAACAATTGACAGGCCAAGTCTGCTTCGTCGTTATTTCATGACAAATGAAAACAAACATGATATCCAGTCCAGTTCACCACCAACACCAAAATGCCTGAAAGACCACAGAACACAACTGAAGTACATGATGTATTATTTCCCTGATTAAGAAAAGCCCTTCAAAACATCTAACCAAGTCAAGAACACTCTTAAGAAGGTGGGCATGTCATTATCAGCGGCTACAATCTAGACACGCCTTCCCTCAAGAACAAGAAAGTCAAATTAGACTTTGCACAGCTGTGAAAAAAATCTTTGGACCGATGAAACCAAAATGAATCCGTACTAGAATTGTGAAAAGAGAAAAGCAGCTCGTGATCTGAAGCATATGACATGATCTGTTACACACGATGGGTTCAGTGTTTGGCATGAGCATCTATGTTTGCCGGTCAAGCTAGGGCTGGTATTTATTAATCATGTGATGAAGTATACAGTGCTATACTGTCTGCTCAGATTCAGTCAAATGCTGCAAAACTGATTGGACTTCACTGCACAGAGCAATTTCACTTAATTGTCAGGTCAGTCACCTGATGTCAGCCTAGAAGAACGTGCTTTTAACTTATTACACACAAAACTGAATGCAGCAAACCCACAAACAAGCAGGAGCTGAAGGAGGCTGCAGTAAAGGCTTACCCGAGCATCTTAAAGGAGGAAACACAGGATTTGGTGATGTCCATGAGTTCTAAACTTAGTCATTTTTCATCCAAGTATTAAAAACAGTTCTTATATTTAATGTTAGTTCTTTAGTTTGTTTGGTTAATTTTGAAACTCTGAACAGGGGGACTGAAAATGTCTGTATTTTTTTAAAACCCCAGTGTGAAAAAAAGCTGAAAGGCTGCCCTTCAGTCACGTCATGTTTGATTTAAAATCCACTGTTGTGGTGTAGAGGTGCAAAACTGCAAAAACTGTTTCACTGTCCAACAAAATATCAACCTAACTGTGTAAAAGAGGATGGATCTGAAAAATGAAGCCAGTGTAGAAGTGGCTTAAATGTGGATTCTTTGTAACAGCCAGCAGGGGGCGACTCCCCTACAAGTAATAAACAAACGGGGTTAAACTAAAATGAATTTTTTGGGAAAGTCACTCTTTTGCTCACTTTTTTTTTAAAGCTTGAGGTGTGAAAAAGGAAGCAGGATATACTTTAGTGTTGGTCTGATTTCTCTTTTATTCCAGTGCACCCAGGTTATCAAGTTTTGAGGAACAGTTTTTGTTAGTCAGTGTGTGTGTCTGTCTGTGTGCGTGCATGTGTGTGTTTGTGTCTGTCTGTGTGTGGTGTGGTGGTGTTGGTGGGGGGATTTCACGTTCTTAATGATAAAGGTAAAACAATGACAGGAAATAGGGAGAGAGAGAAATTGGAACTGTATGCAACAAAGTCACTAGTTGGAAATGCAACCTAGGACAATACAGTTCATGACCAGCACCTTCACCCCTGTGCCAGCAGGACAGCCCAGGGGTCGTCTTTTACCCTTGTTTAATATGAAGTGGAAAATGTACTTATCCACATTGTAAAGTAACTCAGGCAGGTCTGTGAGACTGTTTTTGAGGTTTTTTCTTCCTCTGAAGTCTGAAACCAAACCTGTGATGTTTTATTCTCTAGAAGCAGCAGCTACAGAGATCTCAGTCAGAGATAAACACACGCCTTTCTCAGTTTCCTCCGGACATACCAGCACTTCTCCCAGACCCTGCCAATCTCCAGGGTAAGCCTCAAATTTCCTTTGATACAGTAAATACTGAATACTTTACTGAATCTCTGTGTTACATGAAGCTGTCACAGATTTTGATACAAGTATTTCAGACATTGTAGACTACCCTCATCACATGGGGAGGGGTGGGGGTGGGGGGGCACATATTTGAAATACTTAACATTTTATTCCTTCACACAGGTGTCACCCAACGAAAGAGCCGATTCCCATGCCAGGTGAGACTTTATGACTGTGTATGTGGAATATAGGGAAGGAGTGTTTGGAGAGTATTTACTGTTTTCATTTGAGTGGAAACTGAAAAGTTATGGGAGGTTATGTCAGTTAGAGCTGGTCCACCACATTATTTTAATTCATGCTCCTCCAAGGACTTTGTTGAGTATTAAAATGCCACCAGTGCCCTTTGCGGGACCTATTAGGTCCTACATAATTCAGTGAGGATGTTCACGGTGCCCTTGAGGTAAACTGTATTTTTCATTATCACATTGGTTCTCCAGCTTTTTCTAATGTGCTTAATTCACATATTGAAAAAAGTTCATGCCATACAGAGTGAACCGTAATTAAGCGTTAAGAATAAAAAGGTGAAGTTTAGTAAAATGTGTAGTAAATAAACTTGTTTTATGGTCTTTGATTGTTGAGCTGAAGGCAGCTAAACTTCTTTTAAGGTTCTTGTAGATGTTTCAGCTCTCATCTGAGAGGTTTATTCAGACGTATAGAGATCAAAGTCCTTCATAAACCTAAAAACAAGCCCAGTTTCCTTCAACTCGAGTGCTTAAAACATGGATGACTCAAACCCCCACATTGACGTTTATTTAAAAATATTTTCACCTGGTTGTCCATGTTCCAGCTGCAGAGTCACTGTGGCTTGTCAGCAGGGACTACCCCACAGTTTGAGAACCACCGCTCTAGCGTGATCATCAGGTGAAACTTCTACTTAGTCAAAATACCTTTATCATCAAATATCTACTGAACCGATACCATAATAAGAGCTGCAGTGTCATGAGTATTTTAGCATTTAGCTAAAGCCTGACTCTACCAAAGTGCAGCCTCACCAAACCGCTAGTGACTGAAACTGTAAAAGCCACATTTGCACTGCAGGAACTTTCCCCAAGTCCAAGGACCCTTTGGAGAAACTCAGCACATTACCAACACAGGGTCTGAAACAAAGAGGCAACAGACAAGTCTGTTTCATTAGTTGTACATTTAGAAAATAATTTTTTTATTGCAGAATGTGGCAGCAATAGAATAATAACACTACTGGTGTACTGTCAGTTGTCTATAAGGCTTTTTTATGCACTTCTGTGCATCACTGGATACAAACTCTCCTGGGAAAGCTTACTCGTACAACCAAACAGAAGGATGATAGCGCTCTTGTTTTCTCTGGTAGCTACTAGCAGCATATCTTTGAAACAATAGGTGGTAATGTTGAAACTCTAACAGGGAAGAGATAACTGTGTCCTATTGTCTGATAAAAGGCAAAAGGTCTGAGGGAGACTGATAGAAAGTGAAGGTTAGACGGAAACACAGGAGCGAACAACATTCACTTGCTGGAGAGAGCTCCGGAAATCAGCTCTGAAAACAAAACAATGGGCTGTTTTAAAATGGGAAGTGGTCCAGACGAGGGTGGGGGCAGTTGTCTTATTGCCAGTTATGAACAATTCGAACTGCAGTTTTTGGCACTTTAAGTTGGGTTAATCTCGAGGCCCACAGATAGGGCCTGGAAATGCCAGAGTAAACTTGCTGAACCTAATTCTCAACAACTCAAAAAGTGTCTCATGCTCTATTAAAGTGTGCTAGTTTTTCTTTACTCTTCAACATAAGTCAGTTTCATATTTTAATCAGGAGGCGTTTAGAACAATTTGATTAAAAAATATATTGTAGGTAGATCTGCTCCTTGACTGCCACCCTACGGGGATTCGCGCTCTCTTCAATATTATTGTTATATCATACACAAATGTGTCAGAGTGGGTGAGAATACAGGACCATCTCAAATTAAAATTTGTGAGTAAGCTACAGGATAACGGGACTACTCAGTCCTCCACTGAATTAACCCTTTGAGGTCCACACCAAGAAAAAAGCAATGGAAATGTTTTTGTTTGCATTTCTTATTGATTTGGGTGAGTAATAACCACAATCAATTTTTTTTTCAATAGACCATGTAGTTTTTAAAATATTGATCTCTACCAAACGGTTGAGATGTCACTTAATGGTAAAAGTATGAAATGTCATGCAAATACAAGTACATTAGATAATACAGTTGAAAAAATCAAATAAAGGGCCAAATTATAATTAAATTAATAACAAAAACTATCCAGGGCATTGGATACAGTTTATTTCTAGTAGCATGCCAGTGAACATTGCTGTTTTCATTCCATCAAAGGAAAGTATTATATCAAACAACAAAATACATAGTTTTTTTAATCTGCAAATGGGAGTAATGTACTACAGCACAAAATACTCACATTCAGGCCACTTCTGATTGAATACTAGTGTGCAAAATCATTTTTGTTTTTAAAAAATAAAAACAGTGCAAATCAAGCACATCTGCTTGTGGTTTTGGTCGTTGGGGTCTTAGCATTGATTCTGTGGTCTGGGAGAGCTGAATCATGGTTGTCCAACTCTAGATGCTGGCTTGTTAACTTGGTTCAGACACAGCCAGGTGGAAACCTTTTGAGAGCCATCGGTTTCTGGTCCAGTAGGGCACAGTCCCTCTTGTAGACCTGGTATCCAAGTCAAGGATGTATCCGAACGGTGGAATATGCCATCTCCTTAACTTGTAACTTATAACTTGTCTTATACAGGTGTAATAGCATATCAGGGCGATCGTGGCTCAAGAGTTGGCAGTTTGTCTTGTAATCGGAAGGTTGCCGGTTCGAGCCCCAGCTTGGACAGTCTCGGTCGTTGTGTCCTTGGGCAAGACACCTACCGCCTGCTGGTGTTGGCCAGAGGGGTTGATGGTGCGATATGGCAGCCTCGCTTCTGTCAGTCTGCCCCAGGGCAGCTGTGGCTACAACTGTAGCTCGCCTCCACCAGTGTGTGAATGTGAGAGTGAATGAATAGTGAAATTGTAAAGTGCTTAGATGGTCTCAAAAAGCGCTATATAAATGCAATGCATTATTATTATTATTATTATTATTATTATTATTATTATTATTATTATTATTATTATTATTATT